ATATGCTTAAGTATGAGAAAATTATATATAATTGTCTAAAATTTATCTCCTTTGGGAAGGTAATTAACATATAATAATTCAAAATAATATATCAATAATAATGCCCAACAACATGAAACAGTTAACATTTGTTTCCAACAACATGAAACACTTAACAATATGTGTTTCCAACAATATGAAACACTTAACAACATGTATTTCCAACAATATGAAACACTTCACGACGTGTGTTTCTAGAAATCATATTGCATTGTCAATCCAACAAATTTTACCATAAAAATTCAGCACTTAAAATTAAAGCTATTACTAAATAGGCTTAAGTAGGAGAAAATTATATATAATTGTCTAAAATTTATCCCCTTTGGGAAGGTAATTAACATATAATAATTCAAAATAATATATCAATAATAATGCCCAACAACATGAAACAGTTAACATTTGTTTCCAACAACATGAAACACTTAACAATATGTGTTTCCAACAATATGAAACACTTAACAACATGTATTTCCAACAATATGAAACACTTCACGACATGTGTTTCTAGAAATCATATTGCATTGTCAATCCAACAAATTTTACCATAAAAATTCAGCACTTAAAATTAAAGCTATTACTAAATAGGCTTAAGTAGGAGAAAATTATATATAATTGTCTAAAATTTATCCCCTTTGGGCAGATAAATTTTATAAGTTATATATCTCCATATATCAACATAAAAGCCTTATATGCAATTTTCAAAATTTTATCCCATAAGAATTTTTATTATATTTGCATGATGAATTACAACTAATGTCATACCCTTTATGTGATCCAAAGACTCTTAATATATAATTGAAATAATTAAGAGTGCTGAGGCTAATCCTTAATTAAATGAAATTACATGGATCACTTGACATTACATTTCAAATCCAAATGATTGCTTTGAACCATAGGCAATAATACCAAAATACTCAAATTATTCGTCTCAATATTGTATGTATAAGGAAACTTTAATTAATACATACAATCAAATCATTGTAATACATGACATAAAAACTTGCCTAATTTAATTCACACGGTGCATAAATATTAACCTTCAGTCATGGGTTCAGAATCCGTTATACCCATTTACCTTCCATTTGCCACATGCAATTAATGCCAAATTATACAGTAGTTTACTCTCTTTTATTCAATAAAATGATCCAATAACACCGTCAAATGGAGTAAATATTAACTTTTATAAGTTAAGCTATATTCAAAAACCTCAATTAATGTAAAATATAATTAATTGCGTTTAATCCAATGTCAGTCACAAGTCATTGATGCAATACACTGCAATAAATGGGCCTAAAAACATTGCAACAACTTTTATTGAGACAAATGAAATATGAAACCAATTTCACTAAATCCAAAATGTGAAATGTGAAAACTCACTAAAATGTCCCAAAAAGGACAAAGTTTATTAATTATGAGATATACCCATGTGAATTTATTTCACAAAACTATGCAAAAGTTCAAACGATTCTCACTTATTTCATTAAAATCAAAATCAAATGTCCAATAATTTACAGGCCCAATCCAATGAAAAATAATAATTCACTCATTTCACAAAACAAAGTGTTTCACTAAAATCTAAATGTGAAACTGTAACTAAAAGTGTAAAACCCAGATGTGAAACTGTAACTGAAAGTGTAAATGGATTTCAAGAATCTCTAAATAGTAATACGCAAATCTGAATACACCACAATTCAAGCTAACAACCCAAAATATTTCGAAAATGGAAATCAGTTAAAACAATAATTCACGTTAGCATTGAATAAAATAATTCAGCAGGCTTCTAAAATACACCATTCTGAAAGTGTATTCCACAAAAGATGCACAGTCAAAAAATGTCCGTAAAAATTCAAAGTTTATGAATTGTGGGACCTACCCATGTAAAACTATTTCATATAAGTGACATAAATAATTCCAGACACATGTGCACAGAATATAAAATTCAAAAAATGACACTTAATGCCCACATACTAATAAGTAATAAATGTTAATACTAACTCATCTGTGGGGTTCAAAAATAAATATAAATATTCATACTATGGTGAATAAAGCCATGAAATATTGTTATTCACAACATCAAAAAGTTTCAAAATAATAAGTGAAACCAAAAGTTGGGTCCAATTCACACTAAAAATTGCCAAATCTGAAAATGGCATCTAAAATATCGGAACTCTAAGCCCATGTAAGTGTGAAAACAATGAAACCAACTCATAATTGTACAAAGACAATAATAATATAATAATAATACACTCATTAAAGCGGAATCAGAAATTAATTCACTAATAAAGCCACGATTAGGCATGATTTCGGGATCCCCAATTCATGCAACAGTAAATGCATAAAACTTTAATAATTGTTTCCCAAAAAATTGAAACTTTCAAAAATTGAAAATTTTCACAAAAAAGCAAAAACAACTCACACCATAGTGTCAGCAAATTCATTGAAACTAAAACTTCATGTTTACAAAGCAATTTTGTTGAAAACAAAACAATTCACCAGACAATAATAGTGAATCAGAATTCAAACCATGAATAGTGTCATGACAATAAATAAAATTGAAATAATTTTCTAGCAATTTAGGTTCTCAAAATTCGGGCATGTATATATTTTTACATAATTAAATATAGAAAAAAAACATAATAATTCCATAAAAATATACTATGCGCCGAAAAAATTGCAAATAATATATCAATGATTCACAAATATTCCAAGGATCAAACAATTAAATGTTTCTTAATTTTGGTTTAAAATTAACATGTAATAAATCTGAATAGCACAACACACATTCACTAAATCAGATAATCATGTTTCATGAAAATCTGAACAACACATATTGCTATCACCTTATTAACTATTTGCTTATTACGTGGCGGAAGATTTCGTCTGATTGCAATAATTCATGACAATCAGTAACAATAATAACAAAGGAAAATTATATAAGTGCAACATACATATATAACTATATATATATATATATATATATATATATATATATATATATATATATGATATATATATATATATATATATATATATATATATATGAGATATCGGTGTAAGAGTTAGAAGTCTTACACTCAATCTTGATTATTGATCCACTTATATTTAATGGCTCACATTACTAAAAAATTTGAGACACTGGTATAAAATGATCCTGATATATATATATATATATATATATATATATATATATATATATATATATATATTACACAACCTATTATATTGTAATCAAATAAATAAATAAATAAATATATATATATATATATATATATATATATATATATATTTGGGGAAAGTAATTCTACTGTTGCAGCAAAATTGATACTCTCCTGTCTATGAGAGTTCGATTTGTGTGCCAGCATTTCATTTCCTTTTTTTTTTTCTTTTAAATTAGTGGGACCCATTTGATTGTATCATCAGCAAAATATTTTCTTCTTACGCAGCATGAAAAGATACGATAGATAGATATATATATATATATATATATATATAATTTATCAATTCGAATATATATATATATATATATGTTGTGGAACCAATTGAACCCGATCAACATATTCATAAAATAAAATAAATATCTGCATGAATTGTATATTGAATAAACATCATATACAAAATATTTGGCAATTTAAATCGAACAATTCATATCAAACATATATATATATATATACATGTATACACGGCATCCGTGACGGAAATCAAGATGGAAATCGAGACTATTCACGCTGTTTGTAAGCCTAATCTATATAATAAAGTTTGCCATTTGCTATAAGACAATGTGTATATTTGTAAATCACGACAATTTGTAAATCACGACAATCAAGACGGTGATTTGTAACAACAGTGCAACAACGTAATCGAGATATAAAGAAATGGTTTATCATCTATCATTTAATATGACCACAAAAATTTTCCTACACACACAATATTTTGTGGGGCTCGCAGTAAAAAAAAAAAAAAAAAACTTCGGCACGCAAAACGAATCTCTATAACATAACACAATCACTTTTCCTACAACATAACTCTTATAAAACTCATAAAGAAAACATGTATATATATATATGTATATATATATATATATATATATATATTTATATATATAATATTCACGAAAAAGTTCTGATTAACCAATAAATCGCAATTGTATTCAACAATCCCATATTTAAAAAAAAAAAAATTCGCAATTGAGCATGGGTCTTAAAATCATACATGCAATGCTATGATATTAAATGTAAAAAATTTCATATAGTAATTTAACACAAAGATCAAACACAAAGATAAATACATGTATAATAGATAAAACACCACATATCAATTCTATTCTGAGAGAAATTTGTGTACCTGATTGGATCGTCTCTTATTTACTGAGCGAAGAACTTTGATCTCACGGCTAGAGTCTTCCTCTCTATAACCTATTTCATAAGTGACAGCCTTCTGCGATGGGAGCATAACGGCTCATGAGACTTAATTTCAATATAAATAGGCTAGAGAGGGGACCTAACCAAATACTCTGAATAGAGTTTGTGTCCACTAGATTCATCCATCACGGAAAATCAGGATCAGACTAAAGCCTACACTACCCAACTAGGCTCAATACCAACAGATGCCAAAAGTCCAACTCAACATGAACACAAGGGCTAGTCAAAATAATACAATTGAAATATCCATTAATCCAATTAATTTTAAAACAAAAAACAAATTAATTAATATTGGCCACATAAATAAAATTTCTAACAATGAAAGCAACACAAAAAAAAAAGAAAAAAAAAAGGAATAAAGTAAAATATTAAGCTGTTTACGACAAATATTTATTGTTACTTTTTGCTGTTATATATATGGGACCCCAATGTCTTCTTCTGAGAGAATTCATCAACATATAGCTTTATTCGCATCTTATAGCTATAATCCCTCTATAGTCTCCACCACAACCCTGTAACAGAGAGCACATTAACCAAAGCACAATGGTTAAACAAGCAGAGCCACTAGTGAATGTTGGCAATGGCAATGGTTCTGAGCTAGAACACAAAACTGACTTTGATCCAAGTGCTCCTCCACCCTTTAAGGTTGCAGAAATCAGAGCAGCAATTCCACAACATTGTTGGGTCAAGAATCCATGGAGGTCTCTAAGTTATGTTTTAAGGGATGTCTTAATAGTCACTGCATTGTTAGCTGCAGCAATTGGATTCAATAGCTGGTTCTTTTGGCCACTCTATTGGCTTGCTCAAGGCACAATGTTTTGGGCTCTATTTGTTCTTGGACATGATTGGTAACTAAATTACTCATTTCAATATTAGTGCTCAATAATGCTTAGGCAATTCACTTGGTTATGATTTGTTTGTTTTATGGTTAAGTTTTGATTTTTTTTCTGCATTGAACAGTGGCCATGGAAGCTTTTCAAATAGTCCCAAGTTGAATAGCCTTGTGGGGCACATCTTGCACTCCTCAATTCTTGTACCATACCATGGATGGTTGGTTTCTTTGTTTAGCATTTTATCCTTAATGTTGTTTTGTTTACCAGATCTTTAATATGATTTGACAACAAAACCATTTTACTCACTCATGGATTTTGCAGGAGAATTAGCCATAGAACTCACCATCAAAACCATGGGCACGTTGAGAATGATGAATCATGGGTTCCTGTAAGTGTTTTCTTTCATGCATTATCCTTAATTTCAATCAGTAAATAGATGTGTTTGGCCAAATAGAAGAAAAAGGAAATCTAAAGATGGAAACTTCATGAGTGTGTTCATGATTATGGGAATTTTTAATTTTTTAATTTTTTTTGTGTGTCTTTGTCTCAGCTGACAGAGAAGATGTACAAGAATCTAGACAACATGACAAAAATCATGAGATTCAATCTTCCTTTCCCCATCTTTGTATACCCCTTTTATTTGGTAAGAGCTGTTTTTTTCAGAAAGACAACATAATTGTACTATAGTCTAATAGTTCTAGGATCTCACTCTCTTTTTGATATGAACCACATTTCAGTGGCAAGGAGGCCCAGGAAAGGGAGGATCAGGATCTCATTATAATCCCTATAGCAGCTTGTTCTTACCCAGTGAGAGAAAAGATGTGCTAACTTCAACCGTGTGTTGGGTTATCATGTTTTCTGTGCTTCTCTATCTATCTTTCACAATGGGTCCAATTTTTATGCTCAAGCTCTATGGAGTTCCCTATTGGGTAATCTATCTCACTTTGACAATTTCTTTTAAGTTATGCACTTAACACATATCCTATAGTTTTTCACTTATTTGAACATGTATATAGATCTACATCATGTGGTTGGACTTTGTCACATACTTGCATCACCATGGTTACAAGCAGAAACTACCTTGGTACCGTGGCAAGGTAACATAGCAACCTGATTCTGTTCCTTCATTTTTCTTCAATATCTTATTGCATGATGCAAATGAAACTGTCACCAAAAGAAACTCGAATTTTGTGTTTTTGGTAAAAGGAGTTAGATCTAAACATAAAGTGTTTTGAACTCAAATTCATGACCAATCTTCTCCCAAGTCCAAACCTTACCTATTTTCACCGACTTTATAGTTGAATTTGTCACACATTCAAAAATAAAGAACCCCTTTTGGAATATATTATATTGTGAATTAAGATATATAGTTCATAAAGGAACTTAATTTTATTTTTCTTTTGTTTTTGGTAAACAGAATTAGATCTACTCATAAATTGATTTGAACTCAATTTCAGGACCAATATCATCTCCCAAGTCCACACCTTTACCCCATTTTCACCGACTTTATAGTTGAATTTGTCACTCATTTAATATAAAGAACCCAATTTGAAATATTTTATATTATGAATTATGATAGTATAAAACAGAAATAACATATTTATATGCAACTTTTGCCATACTCACATAACATATTACTTGCCTATGTAATTTCACAGGAATGGAGTTATCTAAGGGGTGGTCTTACAACCGTGGATCGTGACTATGGTTGGGTTAACAACATTCACCATGACATTGGCACCCATGTTATCCATCATCTTTTCCCTCAAATTCCTCATTATCATTTGGTTGAAGCGGTACTCTATTTCACACCCCACAATCTCAAAATGCAAAAAATACATTCTTTTCCTTATGTGGTCCTCAAAGTTAAACTTTTTATTATTATTATTATTGTTATTTCACTACAGACAGAAGCAGCAAAGCCAGTGCTTGGAAAGTATTATCGTCAGCCAGAGAAATCAGGGCCATTCCCACTTCATCTAATCAAGTACTTGATACACAGTATAAGTCAAGACCACTTTGTTAGTGACTCTGGGGACATCGTGTACTACCAAACTGATCCTCAGCAACACAAAAATTCATGGACTAAGTCTGAGTAACTTTGTGGTACTAAATTGATGCATGCCACCCTTTCTTATGTAACTTTAATGGTTTTACCATACGTACTACAATCATATTTGGTCGAAATGTATAAGCTTTTGTGGGTTGTATTGGACATGCACCTAATTCTCAAAAATCAATGATTTTGAGCTTGGTTATAAGTGCATCTATCTTTCGATACTCAAATAAATTAAATGATATGTATAAGCTCTTGCCATGTACTTTAGAAATGAACCTATTTTTCAAAAATCAATTATTTTGTTATGCAAAAATATCTGATGCAATGGACATGATTCGATCTCAGAAGCCATACTAATATAAGCCAAACATTTTATCAATCGTCCGAGTTCATATCACTTTGGTGCTCAAGTATTTATATATAATAACATTTTTCTAATTTAAAATTATATATATATATATATATATATATATATATATATATATATATATGTATGTATGTATATATGTATATATATTGCAAAATTTTAAGTTATTACGTAAAAGATTATAAAGAGCCTTTTTTTATCTTTGCCTAAAATACCTTCACAAGTTACTTTTAGAAACGCTTGCCCTTACGTCTAACCTTTATTGATATAACTCATAAAAATTTTACTAATTTTTTCTTTTTATTGATTTATTATTCATATTAATAGAATAATATTCTAATTTATAAAATAAGAAGTATATATAATATGAAATTCATATCTCTAAAAATTAATAAAATAATAATAATAATAATAATAACAATAATATGAACTATTTGATCCTAAAGGATTGCAATTTGCTTAAAAAAAAAAGGATTGCAATTTGTGTTATCTGAGTACTAATGATGTTTGTAGAGGAGACAGTCTCAAGTAATAGCAGATCACTACACACACAATAAACAAGAAATCAAAAGGGACTATTATATATAATTTCGGTTTAACAATAATTCCACTATTGAACTATCTTAAATCAATCAATCTACGACTACTTCGATTTTCACATGTCAAGGGGTGTTTGGTTGAGGAAATTTTTTTTGAATACTAGGGAAATGTAATTACTAGGAAAATGGTTGGAGAGTGAGTTTGGTAGGAAAATATAAAAAAAATTGTTTGGTTGACCGAAATATTATCAGGGAAATTTATTTAAATTTGTAAAATCTATGTTCGGAAGAAACTTCGCACCTGTTTTTTCACTTTCCCAGTTATCTCAAAATACCACATCTCAAGTGGTATTCTGTAACTGCGAATTTCATCCAAAAATCAACACAAAAGTCATTTCCCCATCTATCCTATTTGTCTAGTATTTTTTTTCAAAAACCTGAACCAAAATGTGATATTTTTTAATATCCACTTACACTTTCTCATCAATCTCAAAATAAACCTTCTACCAAACACTACCTAAGATAATGTAGAACAGAACGGCAAAGCCAAGGAAAGCCCTTCATAACGACCCCCAACTCCTCTTTGACATTGTCCTCGTCATAAAGAATAAAGACAGATACTATGAGGTTACGTTGTGACTAACATATTGCTGCATCAAGCACGGCCACAAATCCCCTTACACCAAGGTCACTTGTTATTTCAAGCATTTAAGGTCCTTCAAGGTTGTGGGGGCCTAAGTAATGCGACCATTGGTGCAAATTAGCTAAATTAGCTAATATGCCAGCCAAACTCAATTCCATTAATTGTTTTGCATTTTATTTTTCTATTTTGTCATTGTCCTATATGTTGATATCCTATGATTTTTATAAAATATTTCCCACTATATATGCTTCTAGTCCTCTCGAAGTTTATGTTTGTCACTTTCGGGTGTGGCCTACTTGTAAGTATATATTCTTGTGTAGTTCGATGAAACAAAGATTACACGTTCAGAACTGTTGTCTAACACCTTTTAGGGATTCAACAGGCTGTCAGTCTCTCCATATATTTAATTTTTATACATAAACAAAATTGGGAAGATTATATTTACAAATATTTTTTCTTATAAATTTATAAATTATATGAAGTATGATTGGTCAGATTTTAATTAAGAGTATATACATAGTATAATTTGTAAAAATTTATAAATAAAAAATTTGTGAATATAATCTTTTCCTGAATAAAATAAAAAGATGAACGTTGATATTCTGAATCAGTTAAGCTCATGGTATGAAGACACAAAAAGTGGGTGTGGGTGTGAGTGTGACCACTTACCCTATTCTCTATCAGTTTCTCACTGAAAAGAATCCTGATCCTGAAGTTACCCCACTTTCTTTTTGTAGTGAGGCCAGGTTAATGCTACTCACAAAGAGGGAAGAAGAAAAACAAATAAAATAAAACACTTTTGTTAAAGATAATATCATTCTCTCTTTTTTTCCTTTTTCCTTTTTTGCAATCAGTTCATTAAACAAAACAAGGTAATAATTGTGTCCAAATCTAACCATTCTAAGTTTCTACAAAGTTACGTACTAACAAGAAGTAGTTAGAATTTAATTACAATTGACAAAGGAGCATGGATAAAGTTAAGAGGCTATTAGTGATAGATTGTGTAAAGAATTATACATTATCTAAAGAATCCTCTTACCTTAAATGTTTAAATTTTTTTTTTTTTTTTTTTTTTTGGAGGTTACAAGGAATTGAACATAATACTCTATACTACACACACTCCTAACACACACACCCCACACCATTAGGCTAACCCTAGTGGATAATGTTTAAATTGTTAGGTGAATGTCAGATTTATATTTTTCATATTTTATTTCTCAATAGTTTCTTCCCACAAAATTTTATTGGGTTTGAAGAGTGGATAATACACAAAATTTTTCTACCTTTACTAAGAAATTTTAAAATATTTAATATTTATTAATAAAATATTGATGGTACTCTAATATTATATTAAACAATTATCTCAATAATTTTATATTATATTTCTTTGATTATGTGGTTTTGCCAAAATATTGGCACTCATGTTTGCTATTCGGTGTATATGATGTAGCTCAAAATGGTGCTGTTGGTTCAGCAAAAGTCTACAAATCAAAGTATTCAATAAGGGAACCCCTAGTGCCAAGGATTTGCATAATTTCCTATTTCATGTTTCAAGCATACAATATAGTTTGGACATATATATACATATATATATGAGGGTTTGAACATATATAACACTTTTATAAGCCATATTTCTCATTGGCTTACGTATAGTTTGGATCTTTTACACTTTAGAAATTAATGAAACTCAAATAGATTAACAAATTAAAGTGGGCCTGAGTTGTAACATGACACGGAGCAAATTCAATCCCAAGGCTTCATTCATTTCTAAATTCCACCCTACACAGATATTGTAACATTATTATCGTTATCTTTATTTTGGTACAATTACGAAAACTACATTGTTTTCTTAGATTGGACCTTAGCTAAATACCTCGCCCAGTCCATTTTAGAAGTTTGATGAGCCCAAGTAGGAAGGTTTTAAAGGACCTAAAATTTAGGTCTTGGAAGGCCTGGCCCATCATTCTGGTCAGTTACATATTGAAATTAGGCCACAATTAAATGATAATATCTTTAACTTAAACATAAAATTAGTAAGGAACTCTCATGCATACACAAAAAAATAGGTGGGACATTTTTTTTCTCTCTCTTCTCATTCACTTTTTTGTATGTTACATGAGACAATTTTGTCTCATACAACATGATAAACTATATTCTCAAATAATAATCTAATTATTTATAAGGGGTCTTATGTTATAGGAGACTGGTATCTTATCTCATAGACACAAAAAACATGGGGTCCACTCATTTATTTATTTTTGTATTTTTTAAATGACATGAGATGAGATACTAATATCCTACAATATGATACTAGTATTTCCCAATTTATAATAGCTTACTCATGAAAAAGAATCTAAAATGGTAACCATTTTTTCGTTTAAGGCCTTGTTCAATGTTACAATATATATGACTGACAAAGAATATAAAGAAATATTACAATAATACATATATCTTATGTATGCTCTAAAAACAACAATCATATGGCATCATTATGTTAACATTAAAGAAAATTCATTTTTTCTTGGTTGTTGAATAAAATTAAATTTAATCATTTAGAATGAATATCTTTTATTAAAAAAAGTAAATATTCTTAAAAGACATGTTTTAAACTTTTTAAAGGAATCGTTGCCGGGGGGAGGAGATGGAGATAGAGATAGAAAAAAAAAGAACTCTAACATGAGAGCTCCAGAGACTAAGGAATAAGAGTTAGTTAGAAGGAGTGTTAAGAAACCAAAAAAAGGTGGGTCGTGATGATGAAACTATGGATGACATGCTAGAGAAAGGAGATATCGATGGAGAGGATTCTCATCATGCGTTTGAGAGTGAAAATGGTCAGATTCATGGTAAAAGGACTGGACCTGGGAGAAGAATTGTATCCTACAAAGATAAACTCCTTGACTTAAACGGGGATGCTACGTTTTCGAAAATGAAGATAAGGACTGGATGGTTAGACAAAGAATAGAGGAGGAGGAAACTGGAATGGATGAGAACTTAGAGAAAGGAGAGGACGACCCATTTTATCCCACGTATAAGGTTTCAAAAAGCCAACATAAGAAAGATTGCAAATAATGGAAAAGAGCTGTGATCATTAAGGGTGTGCATGACAATCTTCCCGGAATCTTTTTTTTTTTAATTTCTGTTCCCGCGAACAGAAACGGATAGAAAACTCGTTTGGTAAAACTGGTTTATTTTTTTGTTCCCGGGATGAACCAATTTAATTTTTGTGCAGGGGAATAGAAAAAAGAATCAAAAAATTTCTACTTTATTGTTCCCGGGCACAAAATAAGAAAAATGTATTTCTCTCAATCACTCTACATCACTATCATCATCATCACCACTACCATCATCCTAACACGACCACTGCCACCATCGTCGCTACCGATGTTGTACCACCAATGTCGTCGTTGTCACCACCACCACCACCATGATGCTACCGCCACTATCACCACCACTACAACAATGATGCCATCACCACCACCACCACCATTACCATCACTATTACCACCACCACCACCA